TTGGGGTTGCAACAAAGTGGTTGCCGAGCAACACACAGACGTAAACAAAGGTGTATGTTTGTAGTGTAATTTACAACAGCTTTGAACTTGGCTCAGCCAATCAGAATCAAGGACCGGAACTATCTGTTTTATAAGATTTATTTTGGTTGTTTTTCTCTGTAGCTCGACATCATGGAGCCGAAAGTGCCAGACGACATTTACAAAACCCACCTGGAGAACAACCGTAAGCCTCTTCAGCTCTCGTGAGGAATGTGACGCGGTGTTTTATGTGTTTTACATGCGGTGTTTCTCTCAGGGTTCGGCAGCAGCGGCTCACAGGTGGACTCCGCTCGCATGAATCTGGCCTCCTCCTTGGTCAACGGCTTCGTTAACGCCGCGTTCGGACAGGACAAGCTGCTCACGGAGGACGGAAACAAATGGCTCTACAAGAACAAGGACCACGGTGAGAGCAGGGCCGTGTCTGGGCAGTTAGACGAGATAAATCTGATGCTTCTGTGATGAGATGTGTGTTTGTTGCAGGCATGCTCAGCGCGGCGGCGTCTCTGGGAATGATTCTGCTGTGGGACGTGGACGGCGGTCTAACGCAGATCGATAAATATCTTTATTCCTCCGAGGACTACATCAAGGTACAGATTCACACACTCATTAGTGTGCTCACTTTAAGGGCTGCATGGTTTGGGGAAAACAAATCATGTGATTATAAAAAAATATATTATTTAAAATATTATATTATATAAAATACAACCGTAGAATAGTAATAATTTGTTGTTGTTATTAAAAATGCAAATGATAAACAAAATAAGAAATATTATTCTTGTAATAGTTCACTGAAAAAGGTATAATATGAAACAAAAAATATATATTATGATACATAATATTAATAATAATAATATGCTAATATACAATACAAATATTTATGGTACTTTTTTCTTTCTTTCAGTGTGTCTTTAAGTATGTATTATATTTATTAAATATAATTCACTTTTATTTTGGTGGGTTGTAGTGAAAATCTTGAGTTTCTGATCTTTTTTTTTTCTTTTTTTTTTTAATGAAGTTACATGTTAAAATTTAATTACAGGTTTCATTCTATAGGTTTAATTACATTTTAGTAATGAAAAGTATGTCTAATCAATTTAATTCATAAACGTCTAACAGTAAACAAAATTAGAAATATTACTGTTGTAATAGTTCACTGAAAAAAGTATAATATGAAATATCATGATGCATAATATTAATAATAAAAAAATATATATTTTTTTTATTATAACATTTTTCAGTGCAAATGTGAAATGACAACACTGATATTTCTGGTGTTTGTTTCTTTGTTGTTTCTTTCAGTCCGGAGCGCTGTTGGCGTGTGGGATCGTTAACTCCGGCGTTCGTAACGAGTGTGATCCCGCTCTGGCGCTGCTGTCTGATTACGTCCTACACAACAGCAACATCATGAGGATCGGGGCCATTTTTGGGTAATTCAGAAATTACACAAATCATTTAGAAATTAAAGGGGTCATATGACGTTGCTAAAAAACATTATTTTGTGTAATGAAATGTGTTTATGCGGTTTAAGGTTAAAAAAACACATTATTTTCCACATACTGTACATTATTGTTTCTCCTCTACGCCCCGCCTTTCTGAAACATAAAAAAAATGGGCATTTAAAAAATAATATAATAATAACAATAAAAAAATATTTATTTCACTCTTTTGTATTGTAAAATTACAATACTTATTTATGACTTATTTATGATGTCTTCATTTTCAAACATTAAAAAAAATCAAGCTTTTATTTTAGAGCAGCATTTAAAAACAAGACTATAACTATTTAATCTTAAAGTTTACTGTTTAAATTAAAACATCAGTGAAAAAACATTTTAAAAATAAAAACATTGTATGATTATTACTAGAAGTACTTTCTACTGTGCATATATATATATAAGAAATATAAGATACATAAAATGGTTTTATATTTTCTTACTTTAAGTTAAATCAAACTTACTTCACTGTAAAATAAATAACTGAGTTTTTAAGAAAAATAATGTAATATAATAATAATAATAAAAATGTTTTACTGTTTGGCATTGCAAAATTACAATATACAATACAAATTTTTAAGGCTTAATTTCTTAAAGGGATACTCCACCCCAAAATGAAAATTTTGTCATTAATCACTTACCCCCATGTCGTTCCAAACCCGTAAAAGCTTAATTCGTCTTCGGAACACAATTTAAGATATTTTGGATGAAAACCGGGAGGCTTGTGACTGTCCCATAGACTATCAAGTAAATTACACTGTCAAGGTCCTTAGCACCATTTTGGAGAATATGAGCCAAACGCAGGCAGCTTACGCTCTTCTGTGTCGGCCGCACCACAAGGATACGTTTTCTATGTGTATTTACGCTGTGATTTGAAAGAAAACCGCGTATCCTTGTGGTGCGGCTGACACAGAAGAGCGTAAGCTGCCTGCGTTCGGCTCATATTCTCCAAAATGGTGCTACTGTGACGAGAATACAAAAAGTATTCTCGTCGCTTCATAACGCTACGGTTGAACCACTGATGGCAGATCGACTATTCTGACGATGCTCTTCATACTTTTCTGGACCTTCACAGTGTAATTTACTTGATAGTCTATGGGACAGTCACAAGCCTCCCGGTTTTCATCCAAAATATCTTAAATTGTGTTCCGAAGACGAATTAAGCTTTTACGGGTTTGGAACGACATGGGGGTAAGTGATTAATGACAAAATTTTCATTTTGGGGTGGAGTATCCCTTTAAG